AAAATGGAACATAAAAAGTTATGGTGAGATACTGAGTTTTAATTCCTTTTTGMAGTGTAAGTCAGAACAACTGTGTACATTACCATTCAGGTATTTCCCAGTTATTACTTCTTCCTAAGGAAAAAAATTATAAATATATGTAAAAAATTATTATTTTTAGATTACAATGTAAAATGTTAGTAGAGAGATCAAATAAAAATACTAACCACAGCTTTGTGTAACAATGGAGGCAAATCTGTAAAAGATTATCCCGTTACTAGAAGTTAATGTTTTATCATTAAATTGTGTCACACAAAAATACATTTATTGTATGCAGTGATTTCATATACAATTCATTTGCAAACATTTAATGCAGTTTTGATTAAATTTCTTTACAGGAAAACAATGGGCGGGAAAAAGACTATTAAATAATAATCAGTCTTGGTGAAACTTTGTGGTATAACTCCATGACATCAAGACAGCAGAGACCATGGTCTCAGTTACTAAACAGTACCTAATTTATTACACACAGCTTTTTCCATCCCTCAAAATACAAAATACACCCTTCAAACAGGAGTTCTGGTCTTACCTTCAGAGTTCTGACTGAGCGTAATCTCAGCATGATTCATTGATATCAACAAGAAGCACATCTTCAAAAGTCTGGACATTTCTTCTGGTGTTTATTAGAATAAAATRATACTTGGATTCAAAAGGAAAATAAAAAGAACAGAGTCAAAAGGCAAYACTCACCCCAAACTTTCACAGCTATAAATCAGAGACAGCCTATGTTGTGGARTACAGATAGAGATCAGGACAATCTAAAACTGCTCGCTCCCAAGTTTTTAATTTAGATCTTTTTCTAGGATAGAGATACACTTTATGCAAGCACAAGTCCACCAAGTGTGCATGTGCAGCCAGATTTATCTCCCTCTAGCAAGGGCTCATTTAATTTTCTTCCTTGTAGCACCATTCATTTACTAAGTTACACTGCACCTAAATATTACCTCAATGCAGTTTTGTTAAAACAGGCAAACAAATCCTTTTAAAATCAGATAAAAAGAAGAGAAATAGAGGGAGTGAAAAGGAAATTATAAATCCACACTGCAGAGAGGATTTTGTGCCCCTGCACCCTCAGYCTGAGAGTCACCACCCCCACAGGTAAAACAATTCATTAATCTGAGCTATTAGATGATGCCTTGATCCTCAGATTGCAGCTTCTTACACTGGGATTAGTCCCTGACTTGCCTCTGACCATAAGGAGACTTTGTTAGGTTTTCTCTCCCTTTCCATCATTTCAAAGGTTTATTTGCAACACACTGAATTTCTGCATTTCTTTTTGTTGCTGAATTTGGATCTGTGCTCGCTCTCTCTTTTTTTCCCCCGAAGTTCTCTGCCACAGCTTGAATTACAGATCCAAACACTTGATAAATATGACACCGGTTTTGGACTGTTTAATCTCATGTACCAAGGTACTCTTATCAAAACGTCTTTCAACAAGCCTTCAGCAATTCTTCAGTCTACTGCAAATACTAAACTCCTGTCCAAACTATACTCCAACTGACAGATAATGAAAAATTTAAACATTAGACTTTAAGAAGCTATCACCTCTGTCCTGTTCTTACACACACTGAAACACATTTCAGCAACTCTTTTGGGAGCACCACAGTAAATGTCTCCCATTCAGATGTATCTGGTTTCCTAGACAATGAACTTACTTGTGTTTGTTTCTGCCTGTGCCCTAATAATTTTGCGGTAAATTCTGATTACTCTGCATAGGTTAACTCATCCTTCCAATGTCAGTCCTGATTTGTTTATTCAAATTCATTCACTTTGATAAGGCAGTGCATTTTAATTAAAGCATGCTAACTTAATATATAATGAGATTAAATGCTACGGAAAGTGCTTTTTCATCCTGACTAACTCAAGCGGACAATCAGCAGGTGCACAAAAAAGTCTSCTGCGAAACTGCCCTGCTTGGTAGTACAATCTGCAGGATTAAGTATTTAATTTTTTCAGAAAACTAGGTCTGTTTGCTGTTCACAGCAGCTTTCAGACAGTCCAAATCACACTGGGGATCTCCTGCAGATCCCATCCAGCATTTCCCCAGGGGATCTTTCCTGGCACATGCTGTGATCAGATCTCTGAAAAGTCACCCTTGCAGAACTCCCCACTCATGAGGGAGCTCCCACATCGCCTTCTCCCCTCACTCCCCAAACAGCCMCGTACAGAAATTCGAGACATTTTATCACTCACTCCATGCAGTCGCTGCCTTATCTGAAGCTTGATAACCAGCGAGCCGATCTCACAATCACCAGTCTTGCTGAKAAGTCCTGGCACAGCCGGTGCCCACCTTCCCCCTGGCACCCGGGCTCTGAGGGAGCAGTGAGTGAACCCGCAGTGGGCCGGGGCTGGGAAGGGAGAGAGGGCAGGAGCAGAGAAGGAAAACCAGGAGTTCAGAACACTTTACCTGCCCGTGGCGTGGGCGTCTCCTCCCCTGCACTGAGGGAGCGGGGCGGCTCCAGCCCGGGACCCGGGCCAGCCCCTGAGGCTGAGGGGCAGCGGGGCGGTGCTGGCCCAGCGGCACCGGGAAAGGCTCCTCACCCAGCGCTGAGGGCGAGGGGCTCTCAGAACACGACAAGGGGATATTCTGTCCCGAGATGAACACAGCCCACCAAGCTGTGAGGGGAAACGCCGGGACACGGGCCAGCACTGCCCTGCTGCGCCTCAGTGCCCGGCGGCACCGGCCCTCAGCGAGGGCGGGAAAAGCTCCTCACCCAGCGCTGAGGGCGAGGGGCTCCCAGAGCACGAGAAGGGAATATTCCGTCCCGAGATGAACAGAGCTCACCAAGCTGTGAGGAGCTCCCAGAGATCGAGAAGGGGATATTCCGTACCGAGATGAACAGAGCTCACCAAGCTGTGAGGAGCTCCCAGAGATCGAGAAGGGGATATTCCGTACCGAGATGAACAGAGCTCACCAAGCTGTGAGGAGCTCCCAGAGATCGAGAAGGGAATATTCCGTCCCGAGATGAACAGAGCTCACCAAGCTGTGAGGGGCTCCAGAGATCGAGAAGGGAATATTCCGTCCCGAGATGAACAGAGATCACCAAGCTGAGGGGAAACGCCGGGCCCGGGCCAGCACCGCCCTGCTGCGCCTCGATATAAAGTAAGGTTAYATCCCAACTGCYAGAAATTATCCACTTACRCMGTYTTTTAAACAAGACRTGTTAAAATGAAKAGCATTTATTTAGTGCTSCTAAAGAAAGGAAAAGGTCTCAGGCCAGTTAAACGCTTAAATACCTACAGCCTGATCCTCACAGGCAGTTTGAATTAGATAATTTGCAAGAAACCACCTGCACCTGTTCAAAGCTGAAAACAATTGGCAACAACTTGGTTAGAGAGCTTGTTATTAAACCCATCAGTTAAAAGTGCTGTTTTGACAAGTTCTGTGTAACTTCGTTAGCTGGAAAATGGCATATGCAAAAGCAATGAGAGTTTATGAGGCTTTGAGAGGGAAGACCATGAAGGAGCCAAAAGTGATATATTTTTTGTGCACTGTTATCTCATTAAACAATAATTAAATGCTGTTTAAATAAATGCAAGGTTGTGCTGCCAGTGAAAGCTTGATTCTCAACACAAAGAGCTGTTGCTGCAGATAAGCATGGCTATGATTACAAAAAATGAACACAAGTTGATGCAAAAGTCATCTCAAAAAAGTTTATTAGCATGATTAAAAACGTGAAGAATGACAGTAAGAGAAAAAGTAACTTAGCATGGAAGATTATCCATTTCAACAGTTTTTATTCAGCAAGGCTTGAACTGAATGGATAACTTTATTGCCAGATTTTGCTTGATTTCTTTCACACCAGTTCACACTGTATCCGTTTCACCATTATTAAGACTATTGCTATTGTTTGGATATGATCCCTGTTGCAGGTAAGTATAAAAAAATATCCCCCATTGCTGCTGGATTTCAGAGTGCAATGTTGGTTTAAAAGCTGGTAAAAAAGAAATTCTCCGCTGAGGAGTCCGTTTAAAAAACAACCTTCCCCCACCCGCCCCAATCACACTACAAAGAAATACATTAGTATTTTGGCCTTTCAATTTCTTACACGGTCTTTATTTAGCATGGCAATCCCAAAATTCCCTCCCTTTAAGTAACCATAAATCAAAACCCTCTCTCAGAGGCTGCTTCTTGGCTTAGATGTGGAGCTGTRCTTCACACAGGCTTACACTGGCTTGAGGACGAAGACAGCATCATCCAGCACGTAGTAGTCATTGTACATGTCCCCTTCACAGAGGTAGGGCAGTCTGGTGAAAGCCTCGATGGCAAAACCAGCTTTACTGAAAACTTCTGGAAGGCTGTTCACCTGCTCTTCCCAAGTGCGCCCTTTGATTTCCAAAACTTCTGAGGGCTTTTCCCACTTGCCACCTACTGAGAAAACAGAACAGCTTTGGTTCAATTACRAAGAACACTTCATTGTGTGCTGCATTTTCTTACAGAAAGCATAATTACACTGATTACCCTCCGTTCCACTCCACACAGGAGGGCACCAAGTCACTTGTAGACCTGTTGCAAGATCAGTTCTCGTTTATCCCTGCTGAAGCAGCTTCTTTAAGGTTTCCTTTTGTTCCATTTTTCACTAAAAGTTCCAAGAGTGGCTAAAAGGTAACTTCCCCTAGTGAGGCCGCTGTCCAGCTATCAGGGACAGAGGTAATTTCAGTGGAGTCAGCAAGCTGAAAATGATGATTTGCTCTGAAGCTTTCCCCAGTAGATCACCACATTACAATGGATGACTACTCTGGCCTKCAGTGGCCACGTACCAGCTGATCTGGTAAAGGCTGCTTAGGCTCATATAAAATTAAGAAGCTGGCCACCTGTAGCATGCTGGAAAATGTGTTTTTGTGATATCCAATGAAATATTGAAGGAAGTAGTGTCACCCACAACAAATAAAAGCTTTCGGGTTTAGTCTGTACCTTTAACCAGTTTGCCAAATGCAGTAGTAAACACCCTTCTAAACAGGAAGTTCTACATCTTGTGACAGTTTTGCAACTCCAAACATTTTCTAAGTTCCTTTTCCTTTAAGAAGATTCATTTCCAGACAGATACAAGAAATGGCATCTTTCAACAATTTCAAGAACGTGCTGGTGCTGGTGTTTGACTGGATCCTGTATGGTGCTGGTAAGACTTTTTAAAGYTTCTTACATTTTCTCATGTAACAATAGTTAAACAAGACTGAGAATTTTGTGGTTATGATTTGCAACACAGCTATAAAATAAAAGCAGTGAAAAGTTTTGCTGAAAATCAWYTWAWTT